TGTGTGAATTGATCTCTTTCGCTATTTTTCTGGATTTATATACATATGGATGAAAGAAAAAAAAGGAAAAAAACAATCTCCTAAATTAGGAGAGAATAAATCAGCCTACCTAACTATGGAAATATTTATACTATGTTGCTCGGACTCAGGCACGGGTATGTATCTAAGTGTCGATCCATTATTTTCTAAAATATAGGATATGGAGATATGACTAAAAAGAGTCCAGATTTTGGACACAGGTACGTGGGTACGTTTTTCAAGCTTCAATTTTTTTTTTATTTATCCAAGATGTCATTTTAAATATACCAAAATCAATCATTCGCAAAGAAGGAAATGAGTATTGAATAAGGGGTTAAAACGAATAAAATGAAATTTTGGGGTTTAGTTTTCAATTATGAAAAGTTAATTATTAAATATTATATAAAATAGAAAATGAGGGATTTGATTACAATTTAAACTTAATGGAATACTAAGCTGCACTATATTGAATCATTGTCATTTCATAAAAAGAAAACCCTAAACCGTCAATATAGAGAGGAAAGAAGGGAAAAAAGAAGAGAAGGCAAAGAGAAAAGATAGAAGAAAAAGAAGGGAAAACCTTGTGCTGTCGCCGAATAAGAGAAGGGGAAGGAAAAAAAGCAGAAACGGCGAAGTGTTCGGTTGAAATTTGGAGGATCCGACACATATCCCATACCCATGTCGTATCATGTCCGACACTGGTACTTCGTCCATTTCGAAGAGTCCGAGCATCAATGTATTTATATATGGTACATCAATTATCCTAAAATCAATTCCTAATCTCCTACAATCATTCTAATTTCTACACTCCCCTCAAGTTGGATGGTAAATGTTGACCATATCCAACTTGTAAATAAAATTATCAAAACTTTATCTAGATAGTCTTTTGGTGAAGATATCTCCAATTTCTTCATTTGTAGAAACGTAGGTCATACAAATCATTCAATCTTCAACTTTTTCTTTGAAGAAAGTTTCTATCTACTTTTACATATTTGGTTCGATTGTGTTGCACTGGATTTAGAGAATCGCAGTATAGTTTGATGGGAAATTTTATAGTGACCTATAATTCTTCCAAGAGTTTTTTTAACCACAATCCTTCACATATTTCTTGTGCAACAACTCTAAACTCGACTTCTACACTGCTTCTTGCCATTATATTTTGTTTCTTACTTCTCCAAGTTATGAAGTTTTCCCGTACAAAGATACAGTAGCTGGCAGTTGATCTTCTATCTTCTATGGAACCAACCCAGTCTGCATTTGTGAATACTTCTACTTCATTCCCTTCATTTTTCTTGAAGAATATTCCATTTTTAGAGGAGCTTTAACATACCCAAGAATTCTATATACTACTTTCAAAGAATTTTCTTTAGTGAATGCATATGTTGGCTTACCACGGTTACTGCATATGCAATGCTAGGTCTAGTATGAG